AACTCTGCCGGCCGCAGGCTCCTCCTCGCATGAAGAGCTTCCCCGCACGACGAGGCCTGTTCTTCGCCAGCCGAGCTGCGGCAGTGGCAAGGGGCGCGAGTACCAGCCTGCCTCCTCCTGCAGGGGATCCTATCTTTGACCCTGTGATCCCGCTTTTTAAGCACTCTGTATGCCGGGATCTCGGGTCGAGGCCCGGCTTTGAGGGGGACACGTCAGGCATGACGGAATGCGATCACCAGCGCTTGTTTCCGCCCGGACCTTCCTCGCGCCACGCGGGAGCCGCCTCGCGCGGGCCGGGAGCTGCGGAGGCCGCGCGGGGCGGGAGGGGGCGGGTGCCCTTGTCCGGCAGGTTTGGCCCAGCCCGCGGCACCGGCTCCTGCATCGGGTGAGCGGGGCCCTCCACCCCCGTCAGCCCCTTGTACCGTGTGACGGAGCGGGGCCGTACGTGGGGATCGAGCGCCTGGGTGGGTTCCTTAGCGGGAAACCGCTCTGCTAACCGTCTGCACGCTTGGGACTTCAGTTCCCAGGGCAAAACGTCCTGCAGCTGGTAAATAAAAATAGAATACATGAAGTATTTCTTTTAAGGTTTATAAGGAACGTTACAGAATGCTTAAGCATGCAAAGTCTTACCACTGGTAAAGAAATCAGAACTATTCATCACCTTCACACGGTCTCCTGATTTTTTTTTTTAGAGCCTTGATAAAGCAAGTATGTTCCGACTTGTACAACGGTGCTGCTTCCAGACACCTTTCAGAGTAAGTCCCTGAAGCATTTTTGCTTTTTCTTTAAAATAGACAGTAAAAGATATAATTGAAGCATTGGAAAAAAAAAAAAAAGGATGACTTGCAGGTTAGAGTAGGCATGCTTTTATCACAGTAAGCTTTTCTGAGAGAACTCCTGATTTTTCGGCAGCATTTAGCCAAAGCTAAGACATTTGTTTTATAAAAGTCAAGTTTTAGTAACCAAGGGGCATTCCTCAGCTCCGGTTATCTCTGGTTTTGTTTAGTGGTGAAAGGATAGTAGCTAGTTTTTGGGTTGACACTTGTCCTATTTCTATAATTATTTCATACTCTTCTGTCAAAAGGGTTTCTGAAAAAGATCGGTACTTCTAACTTGAAGTCTAGAGAATGTTTAGGTGGAAAAATAGGTGGCTATACCTATCTTTCAGATTTCCTTATTCACTACAAAGACCTTAGCTGCTCTTCATCAGATTACTTATGAAAGCCAAGCCAGTTAACTGGTTAAAAACATCTGAAAACTGAGGAGAAGGGCAACTGTGGAGGAACTTTTCCCTGGAAAACTATTTGGTACAAATTTTCCTGTGTGAGGTAACTGTAGGATAAAACGCTTTAATTGCAAAGTGTTCAGAACAAGTTTTGTAGTTGCAGCTCCAGAAGTTAACTGGTTCCAGACTGCTGCACTTCGGGAAGAATAAGACAAGTTGCTCTTTTCCTCTCATCTTCCATCTGCACAGAGATGTTTCTCTTCTTTCAAGATCTCCAAGCTTCAACCAAACATCGATATATGCAGCCAAGCTCCAGGCATTTCACACTTCGATCCCCCTCTTAAAGAAAAAAAAACCCAAAGAGCCCGAGAACAAAGAGCTGGATCCCCAGAAGTACCGCCTGGCGTCGATAAAGGATTCTCCAAAGCCAGCCCTTTACTTGAGCCTTGCAGGACTGTTTCCATTTGTTTCTGTGCCGCTGGCAATGGCTGTCCAAGGGACCTACTACCCCGAGCTGGCATTTGCTCAGATTACATACGGTGCTATGGTTGTCTCCTTCCTAGGAGGAATCAAGTGGGGATTTGCTATCCCGGAGAACAGTCCAGCCAAGCCCGACTGGCGGAACCTGGGTAACAGTGTCGTGCCTCCTTTATTTGCTTGGCAGGTCTTCCTTTATGAAAACCTCACCTGCGGTGCCCTGCTGCTTGTAATGGGTTTAGGGATAGCACTGCATTATGATCTGGGCCTTCTTCCTACTTACCCTGCTTGGTTTAAGGCACTCAGGATAGTGACAACTCTGGTGGCAGTAGTGTCACTACTAACCACTGCGACACTGAAGATGCTTGCTTCAGAGAACCTGCTCAAAACCAGCACAGTGGGATGGAAGAATACAAAATAAGGTGATGAGAGGAAAGAGATATTTATTTGTTAAATAATTTGTATTGAGATTTTTTTTGGGGGGGGCACAAAGAAAGAACTGTTTGTTCTAAAAAGTCATAAGAGAGCAATGTGCAAGATGCTTGTACAGGAAGTAAGCAGCTTAGCAAGTTTAGCATGGAAGGAGTGTAAATAATGGTCATTTTTTCAAGGCAAGCACGACCCTGCCCTTACCTGTAGCATCCATTCACTCTTGACTGAGATGTCACTGCCCTAGGAATTTAAAAGGGAGGTTTGTCCAACAAGAGTAGAAATTGCTTTATTAAAGTATCTGTCTTAACTGTAGTAAGTAGTGCTCTGCGAGGGGTAGAACAAGCCTGGAGTCATAAAAATGATGGAGTGAGCAGGTAACCTTTAGCACAAGCTCGAAAGGAAGGCAAAAGTAATGGGCAGCACCTCTTGTTCCCTGAGAAGACATGTCTGACTCCAGCATAGTTTATTATTTAGGGAAATGGAAGAAATGTAGATACACATTCAGCTGCTATGTTGTAGAAAGGATGCAGTGAAGCAGTAGTCAGGTAACAGGGCAGGCAAGGCAGGACAATGCTTGTTTCCAGCAACAAGCCAAAAGCAAAGAGGGGGTGCAGTGACAAGCAAACGTCACCACTTACCTTGGGTAGTTCATCCAGCAGTTGTGATCAAGTATAAAAGGTGGAAGAGAAAACTTAACTTTGTATCTTATGTAAGGTAGAATCAAAGTGATTAGTGATTAAAAAAGTGATTAAATAAAAATAAAGTATGATCCAGCTCTTCATAGATTCTGTTTAGACTTAGGGTTACCTAGCCAAGAAGGCCGCATACAAAGCCACATTTATATATGGCTGCATAGCTCTAGAGAACCATTGCATTCCTGAATGAGACCACTATCCAATGATGCCTGATATGTAACACAAGGACTCAGTCTCTGGCAATAAGGGACCAGAAAGTGGGACATAAAAGTAGTTTGCACCCTCTCCTTCCTCAACACAGGAGGGACATATAGAAAGAGGCTTTGTGTCCTGAAAACATCATGGGGGGGCAACTCCTAAAAACACTGGGGGCAGGAGAGGGAAGGTAATCTCTTCACATTTATGTGGTAGCTTCTTCCCTGGCATACTGTGAAAGGAAGAGCAAGTCGTCTTTTTTCCTTTTTTTTTTTTTTTCCCCCTCCCCTTTCCTTCCCTTAGCTGCCTCAAGAAACTTAAGAAGGTCCCCGTGTTTATATTTACCATAGGCTTTTCATCTTAAGTATGCTTAAGGACTTTGAGCTTCAAGGAGGAAGCCAAAACATTACATCCAGACACATACTTAGTACCAATTTAGCTAATCCTCACACTTCTCTTGAGAAGTACTATTCTCCAGGTTTTCAATAAAGAACAAAGCACCTACTTAAACTTGTTATCTGTTCATTCTGGAACACTCAGGAGTTAAGAAGCAACCCCCCAAAATGCCTCTTCCTTTGTGAGGAAACATATATATGTATGCATAATCCTCAAACTTTAAAATTGACCTGTTAACAATATCCTATTCCTGAAAGTGGTGCATTTCTGTACTCTCTGAATACAAAGGAAGTGAAAAGGGGTTTGTAAATTAAAGAGCTTATTCTTTCTTACTCAGCCTTGGCAATTGTTAGAATGGGTCCAGAGAAGAACCTTCTTTGGCCCAAAATTCAAAGGAAGAGGTGATGAGTATCAGAGACCATTGTCGTGTTTGGAAAATAAGCTCACTGCCTGATCACAAAAACTGGAGAAGGTAACTGCGCCCAACTACTGATTCCCTCCAGCTACTCTAAACCAGGAAGTTTATGGGATTAGATGAAAAGTGTACCAGTAATTCCCAAACAAATAAAATGAACTGATTGAGAAATATTAAATTAACTGCAAGAGGGGTCATAAAATGTGAAGAAAGCTGAAGAAGTACGTATCACATGAGCCAAGAGAGAACTACCAATACCGTTAGCAAGGCATCCACACTTCCAGGAAACCTGAGTGTTTTTATATTGGGAAAACAAACATACAGATGTTTCACTAAGGTAGTGTGTAACCTTCAGTCCAAAAATAGTAAACGCATTTATTAACCAGCTTTCACAGTAAAACAAGAGCTGTTATATAACAGCAGCAGTGATACAGCTTACTACAGTCAGAAAGGACCCTGTACAAGAGCATTTCACCATTAGTAGGAATATGCATTTCATTATGAACATTTGTTTAAAGCAGCTAGCTTCAAGTTTGGTTGAGGGGTAGAGAATACACAAAAAATGGTTTTTGAATTGCACCAAGATTATAGAGAGATCAGAGAAACAAATGCTCACAAATGCTCCATCCTAGAGCATGGTATAGCGCAGTAGTCTTCCCAACCCAATGCTGGAATGCCAACCTAGATTCTTAAGGTACTTACAACACTAACCTTGGAGGCTTTTATTCATGCGTTAATTTGTTAATATTACACAGAGGATGTGGACCTACACAGTGTGAATGCTCCTTTGTCTACAGAGCACAGGCTTCCTGTTTTGTGACATTCCAGTTGTGGTTTTGTGTTCTAGGATAACGCTGTCTGACAAAGTTCAAGCAGCCTGATTGCGGCTCTGTCCGAGTCCTACCTCACTCATTCATAGCTGTGCAGACAATGCAATGGTCCTGTGCAAAAGGCCGCTTCAAGGAAAATGTTAATTAGATGAATTTAAAAAATAGGTATTGCTATTTTGCAATTGCTAGAAACATTGTTCTATGAAGTGTCCAAGCAAAACAAAATCCTTTAGAAAACACATGGTAATGGCATTACTAATGCAAAATATAACTAATTTTAATCACAAAAAAGCTCTGTCCACTTGACCTTGGAAGAGGCAGGATACAAGATGTGGTAAACATCAACACGTGTACCTCACAGAACAGCCTCTGTTCCAATGCCCAGTCTCAGCATGTGTCACACAGAATAAAAATGCATTCAAGTAAGGAAGGAATGTGGGCAAGAGCCTTTGTTCTTAATACAAAAAAATTAGGAAATCCTAAACAAAATAATTCATCTAATGAATACCATTTCCATTTAAAATTGTGCAGAGCTTAATGAACAAGAGCTCTACTGTCATCACTGAAATAATTTGATACCAAAAGCAAAAGCTGCACTAAAATGGAATGACAACAACTGTGAGAATAACCTTTCAGAACATAAAATTCTCAGTCAGTTATCACTGAAATCTAGCGTGGTAGCAGGAAAGTAATTATCCTATTCATACTTAATGCCTATGCCCAGTAGCAGGGCCAGTACCAAGCCCTCTCCATCCTTCATTTTTCTACATTGTTTTCTGTAAAAAAAGGACAACCAATACTAACCAGGTAGCCAGTCTGCTGTTATCAAGTTAACTTCGGGGCTAATTTGCCATTTTTTTTTCCGGTGAGCTTAATCCAGTGATAAAAAGAACTCCTGCTCTTTGCAGAGCACTTCTGAAACAGACTTTGCCCAAGTCAATTTACTTTCAGGGCCAAGAGTTTTAATATTTCTATTTGCTATGGGGGAGCCCTCTAATTTACTTTACCTGCTGATGGAAGGTTTCTGGCAAATGAGACTGGAATTCCAAGGAGGTAGAAGCTCACTTTTTCCTTAGGGAAGTTTCTTTTTTCTGTTTTTTTCCCCCCTCTACAGCACAGCTACACCTCCTTCACAGCGGCTGGTGATCATGTTGGGGATTTCAGTCCAACTGTCCATATGAGGGTTATACACTTCAACAGAGTCAGAGGTTACTGGAGCAGCAAAATCATGACTAGGAGCACGGCCTCCTGAGGCGTACAGAAATCCATTTACTGCCACAACACAGACACCAGCTCTTCGTATCTTCATTGCTGCAACTTCGACCCATTTTTCCTAATGAGAAAGTGGAAGAGTCAAGAAGCAGTTTTAGGCTAAGGCCCTAATTCTGATAAGAGTAACTTTTTAAGCTTAAATACTAAAACATATACAAAGACAACTAAGCAAGGATCTTACAGGCTCAAATACTGCTACACTAATACAGTGTATATATATATATGGTATTGAGAGGATTATTAGGATTAAAATGACAGCACAAGCTCTTAAACACTTTCTCAAGAAGTCCAAATGCCACAAGTCTGACTAAAGAACAGATCACATACTATTTACACATACACTCTTCCCTTCCTCCAGCTACTGCAAGATACAGTCTGCCTCCAAGACACAGAATGGCACAGTTTGGTGAGAAATGAGAACTAAGTTCAGTTCCAAATGCAAAACAGAATGGAACACTGGAACATGTGCCACTAACACTGTTGTGCATGATGTTCTGAACAGCATTATGCATTACAACAGCATAGCATCGTGCATTATAGCCAGGACAAGTTTCACATCTTTTTGAAGTATGAGTGTTCAAAGTGATTTTTCTAGTCATGCTTGCAACTACATTTTGATGCAGAAGACACCACCAGTTTTCACAGCAAAGGGCAGCTCTTATTACTTCCCCTTCCCTCTAGTTGGAACATGACCATTCTGTTGCAGAAAAGGAATCTCCTCCCTGGTATCCTAACTCTGAATATTTAGCAGACTAGAATACATCTATGCATCATTCCTATCAGCTAGCTTTTAAGTTCCTCAAAAGAATAGTCTTTATAAAAACTATACTCAGAATAAGACTAGCAAAATTCAAACTGGTTAGGACATAGACAGATCCTAAGGTCACTAAAGCTTGCTTTTCAGTCTGATTATCAGCTAATAGTGAAGAGGAAATGGAATTTGCTTTAAATTGCTTCTAGCAAACTGAGTTTTCCCTGCTGTGCAGCAACTTTTATTTTTTTTTTCCCTTTTTAAAGAAGGGAAATGGGCTAACCCTCTAGCATTTTACAAAATGTTCATGCAACTGAAATTTCTGAAAGAAAGGGACTCTACCATACCTCTTCAAATGAGTATCTTTCTACAGAGGCAAGTGCATCTTGAGATTCATTCCAGCCTCCCACAGCATAAATACAATTGTTGAGAGCAGCTACACCAAGATATGCTCTTCGGGTTTCCATGGGAGGAAGCTCAGACCAACGTTTAGATATTGGATCATAGACTTCAACAGAACGTAACTCTACTCCTTCATTGCTGATACCGCCAACAACATAAATCAAACCTGCAGAAATAGTTTTCCGTATGTTAGATTTCGTAAGGGATGGGTCTGAAAAAACAAAAGTGTTTGTCGCAATGCCCATTTCAGTCTGGTATTTATCTGGGATTCTTAAACCATCTTAAGTCACCAGTTTGTCCAGAAAAATATATAGATAATATTAAGTAAATAAGACTCAAAACACTAGAAGTGCTGATGAAAGCAATCATAAATTTAACCAAATGCAGGGTAAAGAATTTAGAAGCCTGCAACTGCTGGGCAGGCCTGAATTGAAGGCTTAAGAAATATTTATACATAAAGACTTCAGATGAATTTGTTTTGAAGTGAGCTGTGTCAACTCTTCAGATACCCACAGACAACGATACAAGAGAAATAAAAGCATGGCCAGGAAGAACAGTCAAATGCTAATGTGTTAGTTGGATAACCATAGCGAAGCCTTGTAGAAACCTCTTTCTAGGAGTCAAAGGCAGAAGAATTAAAGGGTATTCATAGCCTTTGTGTTCTGTATAAGTAAAAATGGTAAGAAGAAAGGCAAATAAACAAGACACGAGTGCAATACATCAGCTTGTGCAACTAACAGCATAGTACAAGAGGACAGTAAGAATTTAAAAATAACAGAGTTTCAGCATCCAACACAAATCAATCACTTAGACCTCTTTCTGGATCTGAGCCTCCCAACACATACCTTGCATTTCACAACACCCAAAGCAGTAGCGGGGCACAGCCATGCTTCCTACCACTTCCCAACTATTCTCTTCAGGATCGAATCTTTCAATTGTGTTGCCAATCTCTGCACCAACCCAACCTCCTGCAAATGAGAGCAAACATAGGAAAAAAATGTGCCCAGAGCTATGTGTTAACTGAGTTTTAGACACATTGAACACTGTTCCAGGGCACATTAATTTTGAAACCAGCATAGAATCTGCAAAGGCACATTAATTTTGAAACCAGCATGGAATCTGCAAAGGAAATAAGTTATAACTGAACAATAATCAATCCACAAAGATTTGTTAAACTATTGTTAATGTGAGCAGCTGTTTTTCAAAACTTAGATTTGCAACACAAAGTGTAAATATTGATTGTAAATATTATAAATCAATCAGCTTAAAAAATCCATTAACTGACATCTTTGCAATTAGTTTCAGACAGGGGAAACAAAACACTTACCTAAAGCATAGATAGCACCATAACATGTGCACACTCCCAATCCGCAGCGGGGATGGTTCATGGAAGCCACAGCAGTCCACTGCTTTGTAACAGGATCGTAACATTCAGTACAGTCAAAAATCATTGAATCTTTTTCACCTGGATAATAAGAACAAAAATAAAGACGAGGAATGACAATGTTTTGCACTGCTGATAACAACTATTCTCCAGCGTCTTCCAGAACAGACAACATCTGAATACAAGATCTTTCTTTTAGCAAACGAATCACCACTAGAAACAGCTTTCAGCAAAAGTTCTCTGAGACTTTACTGAAAGCATCAGAGAGGTGAACAGTGTTACACACTTTGCAGTACAACTGACAGAATTTTCAAATTCCCAGGTAAACATTCCTAGAACATAGAAACTATTTAACACTCCAAAAATCAAGTCACAGGCCAGGTGACAATGCCTCTGATAGAAATTCCATGAAGCATTGACCTGTGTGCTCGTAAAAAGAAGAGTCTGCCCTTACAAATGCTTTACATAGCAAAGTAGAGCCCTGTCCTGCATTGTGAGCACTGTTTCAGCTGTTACCTCCAATGGCATAGACCATCCCGCCCACGACAGCTACACCCAGCCCGCTCCGGGCCTGATGGAGAGAGGACACTGTGGTCCAGTAGTGGCTGAAGGTGTCAAATCGCTCCACACAGCTGAGGGCTCTGCTGTCACTCCAGCGTCCTCCTTGCAGTCGGGTGTATCCGCCTAGAAACCATATAGAAAGGTCAGAGTAAGAGCCCCCTACTCATCCTCTTGATCCTCTATAGGAACCATAAATAAATATATTTGTTAAAATATAAAAAAATGCTTCTTTTATAAATGCTCTGTGTCACATATTTGGCAATTGGAAAAAAATCTTCTGAGGTTATTAAAAACTAAAATATACTAACTGCAAATCCAGGAGAAAAGACTTCCTTTCATATATCACAGTATAAGCCTGAGTAGATCAGGCAGTTTTATAACTAAAGCAGAATATTGTTCTTCTGTGATACAAGTCTAGTCCCTGTTCTACTGCAGTTTCATAGCAGATCTTAACAAGTCCATTTGGGTCAGCTTCATTTGAAAGATGCAGGCATCAGCCTCCCATTCTCTTCAGTGACTCTTCGAAAGAGGAACTAATTCTATAGTTTCTCACAGATCCCTCAATAAAACACTGAGTAGGAGAAAGGAAGCAATCAAGCCTCTGAATGTAATCATGCGATTATGCTTTTGGAAATGTTAAAAATGCTTAGAGTCACTTTTTTTTTTTTTTTTTTTTTTATAAAAAGCATGTGTGTGTTAATATTATCTTCACTTGATGCATTTCCTGTCTAGAACAATTATCATAGTCAAATACAACTAGTATAATCCAGAACTGAAGAGACCTGAATGTTCTTTGTCCATACTTTGCATTTATACAGCTATTGTTGCTTTTGCACAGTTTTACTTTAAAAAGGGGAGAAATATAACCTTTAGAAGAACAAAGACTGTAGCAAGTTTTCATACTACTAGTGAATCACGGACAAAACTCCTGCTGATTTGAATCTTTCTACCCAAGGCAAATAACTTCTTAAGAGCAAATTTAGGCTTTGAATACCATGTTACAATGAAACCAAGTGTGAATTCTCCCCTTTTCTGCAATAGTAAACTGAAAGGAACTAACAGATTAGGCATTTTGATATTTTGGTATCTTCTAATCAAACGAAGAAAGAAAAGTATCTCTTTCAATATTGTAATATGAGATACCACTACATCATTTGTTTTACAAAGTTCAAACAGCCACATTCTAACCTACTGCATAAAGGTACTTCCTGGCTTTCCTCCGGGGACGAGCTTTAGAAGCTTGCAGAAAACTGCTGACCTTGTTCTCTTTGGGAGATTTACAGACTTCACAGTATTCTTTCAACAGAGTTTGCAGGGCCACCCGAAGGCTGAAATCTGGAACACCTTGAGATGCAGAAAATCAAAAGATGCATAATGAAAAAAGAAACAATGAGTAGCTGATCTATGAGAAAGCTGCTAGCTTCTGCTAAAGCAGCAGGCAAATTAAGATCGCATACTTTTATAACTACTTTTCAAGAGCTTATTTTTAAAATATGCGTGTGTCAAGAAATGTGCTGATTTGTTAAGAAATGTAACTTAAGGTAATTCTTTCCACTCGTACTCATCTAAGAAAAAAAATCCACTCATTTAAGAAAAAAATAAGTAAAATCCCAGTAACCCTGAACAACACTTAGTCCACACAAACACAGTTATTTGATAGTATTTCCTTTCTTCATTTACCTTCTATGTATTTCAAGAGTCTTTGTGCTGGTAACAGAGGAAATCGAACAGGTTCCAGTACTTCCACTACATGTTTCTTTCTTTTTCCCAGATCCTTCAGGATCCACTGCATTGCAGCTATAAAAACCTGGTACTCATCCTCTATACTTAGGTCCTCGCTTCGCAGGATCTTAATCAGCTGCTCTTTCCTTAGCGCTAGGAATTCCTCGCTGCTCTGCACCTCCAGGAAGTGAGCGTGGATGTAGCTCTCAGTGAACTCCAACAAGTCGTGGCAGGCAATTTGCTCGGAGAACTGGAAGAGGCCGATGCAGTTGAAGGGGTCGATCTGGCCCTTGAGGAACTCGCAGCAGAGCTCCACCACCTCGGTGAGCTGCAGCATGTCGGCGGCGACTATCAGCTCCTGCACGTTGTGCTCCCCGATGCTCACCACGCCTGCGGGCACGCACACGACAGCCGGGGGCCCCGGTGTCCCCTGCGTGGGCCATGGCACCGCTCCTCCGCCCCGGCGGCCGTTGGGCGACCGTTACGCGGACGGCCGCCCCCTGCCCCGTCGCGCGGGGCCCCGCCGTTACCTGTGTAGATGAAGTCGAGGAGCGTGTGGAAAGTGCCCGCCTCGACGCCCGCGATGCGCACCACGTCGCGGCCGGG